ATAAAACCGAAGGAATTGCGTTTTAGCTGCCATCGAGAATCCAGCGTACGACGAGGTGTCGGAGAACTTGCCACTCTTAAGGAACCGGCGGCACACAATCTGCGGTCTTCCGTCCTGGCAGTCCAAGAAGGTCAACCATAATTTCTGCGCAGCCAAATGCCTAGCGCAGCGTCGCCGGGGCGGTAGCTGCCACGACGGCATCTGCATCTGCAGGAACAGTCTCACCTTCGAATCATCGTCTCACCCCCGATTAACGCGATGGTACCACGGATCTCGCACTCGACCGCTATCTCGTGGGATTAACTACGTTAGCGAACGCTAACGCCGATAACAGTCCGAATTAATATTCAGGAGTGATCACGGGACGCGATTTAATCACTGGATCGATAGCCCCGGCCTCATCGCCCCCGGATCGCCTCCGCCAATGAATTTCCATCAAAATCGATAACGTCGTTAATAATTGTTTTAGCTGTCCTTGCATGTCGCTTGCCGAGTGTTTTGATATAATAAGAATAACAGTCTTGCTCGGCGTTGGCCGCGACAGGCGTTTCTGACGGGAACTGTCATATCGATATTGACATTATTAATGGAAGTTAATTAAATTGTTTATTGTAATGGCGCCATGACGGGACATTTAATATGTACAATATTTGTCGAGGCATGTCAGTCCTCTCTTTATGACGAGCGCGTAAAATTTCGGCTGAACCAGCTTCGCTCTCTCAGAAACGCAGTTTCTCTCTTTCTCTCTCTCTCTCTCTCTCTCTCGTGTGAAAATTATTTTGACACGTACACATTAATTGAATTGTAACAAGGTTGTGACGTACAATGTTCCAAACAAAACCGATATTGATGGATTGCATCGATTAAATACGATTTTTCTTTTCAACTGTACATTTATTCATAATTTATGTACATCACTTGTATTGGAAATTGTCCTGTAAGGTAATTAGCGATGCTTACGATAATTGATCTATTATTTTATAAAGCAAAAGCCATTCGACTAGGTTAGCTCGAATAATTCAATTTATTTGTTGCGCATGACATCGCAACGACACTTTTGTATCAAAAAATTAGATTAGATTAAATATTTTTAAAAAATATTTAAAATTAGATTAAATATTTTTACAATTAAACAGATTACTGATTGTTGAAAATGATCGCAATTTCGCAAATAATCGCCGCATATGTCGCAAATAATAAACATGAATTAACTATTTATTCGCCGTTTAATTCCGTTAAAATTAACGTTATTAATGTGTGGCAAAAATATGTATTAATAACAGCAGGTAATCGAGTGCGAAACATCACATTCCGCGAATTGATAATTGACCTTTACCCCGGCCCCGTTTGAAATCTATTTCCTGATATAAAAGCAACATGTGGACCCGGTCGATAGTTCCACGTTGGCGAATCCAATCACTAACGTAATATCTTTCGGTATGCTTGTGTATATTGATTTCTGAGTTTGCGAACGTGCACAGAACACAGATCACTGCGGAACAATGAGTTGTCCGACCTATCCTGGGAGATGAAATCTAGAATTAAATTTAAAATGCATCAAACAACCGGACGCTCTTCAAGATACATGCAATATATATATTGCACATATCTTGAAGAAATAGATCCTATTTCCCATGAATATCGTCAATTTGAATTTTTAATACATAATGACGTACACACACACACACACACACACACACACACACACACACACACACACACACACACTATATATATATATATATATAATAATAATAATTAA